CCCCCCCCCCCCCCCCCCCCCCCCCCCCCCCCCCCCCCCCCTCCCTGCCCTTCTTCTTCTTCTTCTCCTTCTTCTTCTTCTACTTCTAGTACTTCCTCCTCCCCTTCAACATCCTTTTCTTCTTCCTCTACTACCTTCGGGCCCCCAAAATTTGCCTAACAAGGCTACAAGTGCCCTGCTTATAAGAAGTGGGATCTGCCCCTAAACCCTTTCCATCCATCCTAAGGTGCAGCCGTCGGGTAACTTTCCGCCCCCTCTCCCCCCTTCCCCCCTCCTCCTCCTCCTCCCCCTCCTCTACATCCCACTGATACTCCATAACCTCCTGTGCGCGTCTCATCTCATCTTCTGCCCTCCGCGCCGTGCCCAATCCTCTGTGATGCACCGTTTGTTTGTTCTTTGTCTTAGCTCAATCAATGATCGTGACCGCGTCAGCCTCGTTAGAGATCCGAGCGATGCGTCTTGTCTTGTTCTTCGACGTGCGAAGTGCTGTCCGCCGCCACTTTTTCTCCTCTCTCTCTCGTCCTCCACACCCCTCCGTTCTCCTCTTTCCCTCCTTTGTCCTCTCGAGCCCATCCTTTCTTCTAATCTGTCTTTTGTCCTCGGCCTCCGTGTCTTGTACGGAACCCCGACGGAGCTTGTATGGAGCCCCGACGGAGCTTGTACGGAGCCCCGACGGAGCTTGTACCGAGCCCCGACGGAGCTTGTACGGAGCCCCGACGGAGCTTGTACGGAGCCCCGACGGAGTTTGTACGGAGCCGCGACAGCGACTCCTTTTGTTTGTACTCTTGCCTCCATGTCTTGTTTCTGGAGTGGGCGGCGCCAACGTCACCATCTTTGTCTTCCCTTTTGTGTTTTGTAATTCAGTTGTTGCTTCTTTTACCTTGTCTTCTTCTTCCCATTGTTCATCCCTTACTGGTTATCTGTCAACAATTATTTTCGAGGTGTTTTTCTTTCTATCTGTCCTTTCCTGCTCCTCTGTTTCCTTCTCCCCCCCCCGCCGCCGCCGCCGCCGCCGCCGTGTCTTCCGCTGAAGGTTGGTTATCTGTGGCCCGAGAGCTTAGGAGCGCAGTCTGGAGGCAGCTATCTTGATCTTGCCGCAGATTGGATCTTGTCGGGTTCGGCCTTCGTGGTTCTCTGTTGTGGTTGTGGGCAAGTGATAGCGATCTCCTCGCGCGTGCGGTTCGTCGACACAGGTTGTCCCTCCCTCTCTGCTGATTACCGACCGACATTGTGACCAACCTTTCTTCCTCAATGAGGTTGTTATAGTAATTGGTACTTCCTGTGGCTGGTGAGCTGAGGCTTCTTCCTCTTGAGAGTTGGTGGAAGAGAGTAGGAGGCTGGATGCATGGTCGTTTCTCTTTAGGGGTGGTGGAAGAGAGAGAGGGGGCACACAACGATGCAGGCCCTGTTGTTTTGCACAAGGATGGACAAAGGGAGAGCAGTTATGAAGGATACGAGTAAATGGGGCCGTGCAACGTAGAATGACAGGTTTAGAGAGATATTGGCAGGGTTTCCGGGGGAAATAGGAAAAGCATGTTTGGGTGGTGGCGGCGGCGGCGGCGCGAGGGGTGATAGTTTGACTTGATGTGGGAACGGCGTGTTTGGCTAGCACGATCGTCGATGGCGATATGGTGATCCGTCGACCATCTGGTGCAGCCTGCGCGAGTCGATTCCCTTGCCCTCGGTAAGGTAAGGGACCTTAAGGAGGTATTCTTATTGAGAGTTACACTGATAGACGATAGACAGAAAGAGGGGGCCTTAACGGATAGGCAGGAAGAGGGGCTTACCTGCTGGCCGACAGGTTGATAGATTGTGTGTGTGTGTGTGTGTGTGTGTGTGTGTGTGTGTGTGTGTGTGTGTGTG